CACAAGTAGCTGACCTGACTAAATATCTGGTTCATACTACAGAAGTTACAGAAAGTGTAGCTGATTCTCCAGGATTTATGGAATTTCCCAGTTCAGTTCCTCTGGTTTCCAGCCTTGGGGAGGACAGTATATTTGAAGTTACATCTACAGTTGTGGATGACGTCTTCATGTGCAGTCCAGAGAAGGTTCAGGAATCTAAAATTCCCTCCCCTGAAGATCACACAATTGAAATCTTACCCGACGAAGGTATACCTGATTACCTTTCACTGTATTTCTAATTTGACCTGTATTATGTTGTTCAGTGTAAAGGGGGCAGGGCTTCTACCTTTTCATGTGCGTTATGAATTCTTGTGCATGATTTTTACCATATGTGGGTCTTTTTTTATTTTAAGTTCCTTACCTGGAAATCCACCTTGCAATTGGCAGCAGCGTTGACAAACCTGTGTTAACCTTTGAGTTGGGCTGCCTATCTGCTAGACCTGATGGGCAGCCCAGCAACCAACCAAAGGAGTGCACAAAGGAGGCTGACATCACTACTGCTGATTGCAGGGCAGTAACTTGGTGCTGTCATCCTGCAACAGTTACAAGTTGGGTTATAATGTTTCCTAATTTTGATCCTGCAAATGATGAATTCACAAAATATCCCAAAATCCTATTTTCTCTTTTTTTTAATTCATATTCGTGTAGAATTGGGGTCTACATATACGCAAGTGACCTTTATTTGCCCTGAAAGGGAAAGGGACACTTTAAATTTAGGTTTGCCCATCAGGAGTCCAGTGGCATGTTTGTGGTGTGGATTTTTTATCTTGCATTTTAACAATGTGTTTTTTTTTTTTTTTTGTTTATCTCCTTTTTATAGACATCAAGATTTCTAACGATCCACTAGACTTCCTTGAAAGCTGTACTTCAAATATGGTAGAGAAGTAAATCCTTTCCCTCCAATATTTTGTCTACTTGAGAAAATTAAAAATCTTCCCACTACATTCTGTGTCCACCCCCCTTACCAGAGAATGGAATCCTGTCTATTGATGTGTTTACAATGTTTAATATGACATTTTACATTTTACTATTAAATATTTATTAAAGTTTCTATTAAAATATCTGTGTGGGTTTTATCTCTACACGAGAGTATGTTGAAGATGTAATAGTAGTTGCACTACTAAATGTGAATAGCATATTTCATGTAAGACCAAGTGGCTCCTTTAAAAATGGACACAAAAGACTCCTCGGTAATTAATAAAGTAAAATGCATCTTTTTACAGTATATCTGAACAGACTTTTCTCCATTTTGATACATTTCAGCTAAATCAAAGTTTGTATTTACAAAGGCGATCAGAAAACATGGTTTATGCTCTAAGATAGAAGCTGCAAAAAATCTTCAGTGGCTTCTAGTGTAATACAGAATGCCTCTTTAAGGTCCAGACAGTTTGTTCATGTGAAATGTAGGACCAGTGTCAGACTATAGTGTGCTGTTTTTTTTTTTTTTTTTTTTTTTTTTTTTTTGTGCAAGCAGAAGCTACATCTAGGCAATGGTACATCAACTGCTTACACATACTACATAAAAGTGCAGTTCTGCCTCTGTTTGCCTTTAATTCGTTATAGTATTGTAGTACTCTGGCCATACAAAAATTAAGAGGTTTGTAGAGGTTAAAGTTCTTTAAACAGAAAATGGAAGTCACAGCTACAAATACTAGCTCAGAATACAGCTGTATAGGGTATTACATTGGAACTCTGTCAATGCTTGTGTGCCAGTGCAGTTATCTATGGTTACTAATGTTGCCATATCAGTCTGACTATAGTTGCTGACCTTTTGTGTATTAACTCAATTACAACTATGCATAAATGTGAGCAATGGATGCTTTTTTTTTTTTTTTTTTTTTTTTTTTAAATTTCATTCCCTTGCTACATTTGTGCTCCCCTGTTGCTTTTGTTGGTCAGGATCTCATTGAGAGGAGTCAAGGCAGCAGGACTTGGTGCTGTAAAGATGCTACAGCCTGCATGCAGTACTAGGCCATTACATTCAATACTTGCTTTAACTCATGATGGAGCTCTCATGGTGATAGAAGTAATATGATTCTTTTCTTTTAGCACATGCAGAGATAAAAAAAGAAAAATCTGTAGTGAGATGTGGCTGTATTCACCAGTCTCTGAAAATAAGTTGCTCTCTGCTGATCCAGAATCGTATTGCTGAGTTGCATGTTTGTTTCATTAGGCCATACCTGATGTATGCTTGTGCCAACTGGTAACTCGTATTTCTATTTGCAGGTAACACATACCCCCTTGAAGTCAGAATCAATCACTGCGGTATCTGACTTAATGGTCTTTTCACCGATGCAATGTTAATATTCTATGGCGAACTGGGAACCTATATCTGCCTGTACAGACCAGAAGATTTCCATTGTAATATTTCCATTACACTATTTTTAGGTTTCAAAGATAACATTTTAGAGTTATTTTTTATCACATTGCTATGTTACGTGTTTTATTATATTTTTAAGATTTAATGTTTTTGGCAGTGCAGCTACAGTGGTTTTGGTTTCAGGAAAATCTGCAAAACCCAGAATGTAAATTTTTTTTTTTTTCCGAATTTTGCTTCATAAGTCTCATGCAGTTGTTAAAGGTGTTTAATGCATATGTAATTTGTATTATGAATAAGCTAAGAATTCAGTAAACTGCTTGTCAAAGTTGTTGTTTGTGGGTTTTTTTTTTTTTTTTTTTTTTTTTAAGGTTTTTCTTCCCTGTCCAAGACATGCCCCCGTCCTGTTTTTAATAATGTTTATCTGTGATTACCCCCCAATAACATCCACTTTAAGCAGATCAAATACAATCTATCCCCTCCATCGTTCTGTGGCGAAAGGACCTGTATCCCTGAAAACCTTATATATGTAGATACATCTATCTGTCTCTGAAGTGAGTACACCCCTCATATTTTTGTAAATATTTTATTATATCTTCATGTGACAACACTGAAGAAATGACACTTTGCTACAATGTAAAGTAGTGAGTGTACAGCTTGTACAACAGTGTAAATTTGCTGTCCCCTCAAAATAACTCAACACACAGCCATTAATGTCTAAACCGCTGGCACCAAAAGTGAGTACACCCCTAAGTGACTATGTCCAAATTGGGCCCAATTTAGCCATTTTCCCTCCCTGGTGTCATGATACTCATTAGTGTTACAAAGTCTCAGGTGTGTTAAATCTGGTGTTATTGCTCTCACTCTTACTGGTCACTGGAAGTTCAACATGGCACCTCATGGCAAAGGACTATCTGAGGATCTGAAAAAAAAAAATGTTGTTGCTCTACATAAAGAAGGCCTAGGCTATAAGATGATTGCCAAGACCCTGAAACTGAGCTGCAGCACGGTGGCAAAGACCATACAGCAGTTTAACAGGACAGGTTCCACTCAAAAGAGAACACACGTGTGTGTGTGTGTGTGTGTGTGTTTACATCTTGGGCCAGTTTTCCCTTTGAAAATAAAAATCAGGAGATACTCAACCAGCAAATGACAGCCTACTCTGTCCTGAAAGTATGGTACCATCCACCTGGATACACTAAGTGGTTGCAATGATGTGCACAACACATGCCAAAGTTGCAAAATTTGGGTTTTGGTGGTAAGGCTTGTTTTGACATTTTGGTAGTGAAGGGTTAACATGCAGTTCTCAGTTTAGGAAATAAAAGCTTAATTACGCATTTGTCGGCCTCTGCAGGACCTATCCAGCATTTGTGCGGGCCCCATAAACTCACAAATTAGCACACTGCTTTGTTACCTACTCACACATGAGCAGCTTGTTCTTTCATTTATGTGAGCTGCAAGAGACAGCAGAGTGGTTATTGGGAATATGTGCATCCTTTTGGATGTAGCATGTACAGCCTGTAAGGATCTTAAAGTGAACTTGTGTTGTGGTTATGCAATCTGAGCGACAATTTTACTTTAACTGCACATATATTCTTACAGGAACTCTTTAAAGTATTTTATGCCTGCTTCTGTAGCCCTGCAGAAACTCAAACTGCTCTTTGGTATCACATTCAAGATTGTGGCATCAGTAGACTCAGTGGGGTTGATTTACTAAAGGTAAATAGGCTGTGCACTGCAAGTACAGTTCCTTTAGATCCGAGGGGAAGCTCTGAAATGAGGCGAAGATCTGCTGATTTCTTTCATTCAATCATGTTCAAACAAAAAATGCTGTTTTTGTTATTTTCCTTGCATGTTCCCCTCAGATCTAGAGCAACTGAACTTTCAGTGCACAGCCTATTTGCCTTTAGTAAATCAACCTCAGTGTCACCTGCATGACAGCTGAAACTTAGTCCTGTTTGACAGGTACTATAAGGTTCCTGTACCATGGGGCGGGCTGTACTAGCTCAGTGGAGGGATCTATCCACTGATCCCCACTGAGCAGATGGAAGGCTGGTCTTTGCTTCGCTTATGCAGAGCAGACACAACCTGCTGTTGAGTGTAAAAGAACAGGCAGTCCATTTATATCCAACTGCCATCCAGTATGATCCACTCGACTTTCTTCTGTCTGTTTTTAGCTGATCTGATTGAATGTTGGTGGGTGTAAACAGGACCATGTCTGTTTGCACTCACCACTCTGTGGAAGGTTCACCTAAGAAAAAAAAACAACTCAGTTGGTCTGCCTGTGTGAAAGTCTGTCATAATGTGGTGCATACTAGCACATTATGGCATTTCCCTCCTGGGGGCATGTTCAGAATGTATTTATTTTAACCAGCATTTTCACTTTGTTACTTATCCTATTCCTATGAGTAGGCTGTCATTTGCTGGTTGAGTATTTCTGCACAGGAATTGTGATACTACTCCTCACCCAAATGCAGAGGGGACATATCCAATATCAAGAAGAATAAATTCTGACACATCTATAGGCTATTTTTTTATTGGTTTCCATTAATGTAGTTTTCCAATATACACAAATATTCTTCATATAAAATATCAGTTAAGCAAAGCCACATTTTTCATGATTCAGTGACTGCAGTCTGGGAGATTACATCATTCCTACAGTAGCCCCATTCAAGGTGAAATCACCGCCAAAGACCACAGCTTTAGTCTGTTGAAAATCACGGCTTCGGTGCTTATAATGGCAGCAGGTTTCATTGTTGACGACAATGCGATAATGGTCTTGTTCAACAATGATTTGCATCTGGAAAATATTGGAATCAGAAGTCAAAATGGAGAAAGGGAGAAACATACTTTAGTGTGGTAACACAAAAAATTGCTTCCTTTTCCTTAACAAGATTCAGCCTCAGTCAGAAACAGTTACCAATGGAAAATGTTTCTGATCTTTGGGGAAAAAAAAGCGGGGAGGGTTGATGAAATGGGCCCACTGTTGTGATTGTGCTTTACATGTCCATGAGTGTGATGCCCAATGCACCAAAACAAGTAATACTTTTTTTCTTTAATTCGTAATGCAGCATACCATGATGTATGGTAGTGTGTCACTGCTCATTATGGTGTGCCGCAGCACAGGTTCATTGGTAAAGTGTGTTAAGAATGAATTGCACCACTACACACCAAAATGCACAACACACTCATTACTGCAGCACAAGATTGAGAACCTAGCGTAAAGAGACACTCATTAATGGAGGCTGCCACTGCTGACCTTTTTTTTTTTATAAATTTATTTAAATTCTAGTTTGTCAGGCTGCCATTCTGATGCTTTGATTTCAGTGCTGCCTGAGTTGCTGACCTGAAACATCTATACAAATAAATAGAAAGAGGTTTGTAATAGCAGCCCCATACTTATCTCATGACAGAATCAGAGTCCCATTTCCACACCTCTGCCCACTATGACTTTAGCAAATGCACTGCAGCGCATCACAACACGTACCAGGACAGGTAACGTGGTTTTTTTTTTTTTAAACCTTGATGTGGGGAATGCATTAAAGTATAACTAAAGGCAGGACTTTCTTTTTTTTTTTTAGTTTTGGATAGAGTGGAGAGAGATCAGAACACCTGTCAGGTTTCTATTGCTGTCTTGGGTAGATTCATTCTCTCTATTTGTCCAGTTTGCTGCTAAAATTAAAAGTGAAAAAAATCCCAAATTTTGGGTTGTCCCCTTAAAAGAAATAGAGGGGAAATCTTCCAAAGAGGACACTGGTTCTGGTGACCTGGCGGGCACCAAGGAATTCCCTTTTCAGGGATATCTTCTCACTTCCTGTTTATGCCCAATAGGACACAGATGGCAAAACAAATACTGACAGAGGTTAGAACCCTCCCTTATTCTATCAAAAATGAAACAAATTTGCCTATAGTTTTACATTAAAGAAGAAATCCGGGTAAAATATAGTTTTCCCATTCAGTGGGGCTGTGCCTGCACTACATGGGTTAAATGCTCTTTTTTTTTTTTTTGTCTAGGGTATTGAAAAGCTGAGATATACTTACCTAATCCGCTGCTTCTCTGAGTGCAAGACTGGTTCCCGCTACTCCTGCCGCACAACCCCCTGCCCCCCACTAGCGGACTTGTGAATGGGCTGTTCTGGATGTTGTCATACCCATAAATCGGCTCCAGACATGAGGAGGCCAGGAACAGTCCACCACTGGAGGTGGGCGAGCATGGTTTTCCAGAGAACGGGGCAAGAATAGCTTTTCCCCTGAGCCCCTACAAAACAAGCAGTTAACCCATGCAGTGCGGGCACAACCCCACTGCATGGGAAAATAACACATTTAATTGGAGTCTTGCTACAAGGAAAGAGAGAAAAAGCGTTAGACTTTAGTACTGTTTTACGACAACTAATTGTGGTCAGTTGCAGAACCATGCAGATGAATAGCAGGACATACATTCTTCAATTTAGGATGTCAGGATCCAGCAAGGGTAATCTAATCAGAGAACTTCAGCTGAAAAGGTTCTGTACATTCTATGCAATCTAGAAATTCACTTTTAAAGTTTTATTTTCCTTTTTTTCTTCTTTTCTTTTTTTTTTTTTACCGTAAATGGACGTTCCTTCTGAAATGGAAACTTGGGTATTCCCCGTTCTTCAGATCCCCACCGATTTTGGATGTACGAATTACGCACCACTGCAGGGGGGTTCTCATCGAAACGTGCGTTGAAATGTAAAACAATATTATCGCCGTTTTTAATATCAATAGCCCACCTGAAAGATACAGATGATCATTAAAATCTTTTTTTCAATACACACATCACAATCTGGTTTTAAATTACTCTGATTTATTTTTTTTTTTTAGACAAATTGTTTTGTGCTGTGAAAAAAATGTCTATATACTTTTCTGAATATTTATTTGCTGAAGAATTTTTTCTCAGCGAGCTCAGCGCCTCTCTCCACCCTCCTCCACATACAGTATACAGTATATATGGTAGCTGGTACAAGGCGGTTATTCATTGCAATCTCTTGCTGGCAACAAAGCTTCATTTACATTAGAGCAGCAGAAATGCCTGCAGGGATGAAACACACTAAATGGAAAAATACTTCACATTCCTTAAAGTGTTAGTTCAACGTTTAGAAAAAATGAAAAGGTGAGCTAACATCATACACCCTCCCCACCCCCAAGCGTACACCCTCCCCACCCCCAAGCGTACTCACCTCTGTGTATGCTGAGCTGCCAGTGCCCATGTAAGCAGCCCAGTGGTCCAAGGATTTGAAATCCCTGCTTTTCTCCCTCATCCCTGTGCATTTCTGGGATGGATCTGAGCAATGCTCTGTGAAGGCACTGACCAATCAGAACCACACTGATCTGTCCACAAATCTATGTTAAAAAGACAATTTTTGGGGGGATTTAAGGGTCTCATCCTTAGTACTGTTGAATGAAGTGTTTACAGGACTGATAAAACTGGGGGAACACTGAGGGGTAATTGGTATGAGCAATCCAGATTATAGTTAAAGTAGACTTTTTTACTTTGGATAGAATAAGGGAGGGTTATAACCCCTGTTAGTTTTTTTTTTTTCTGCCATATGTGTCCCATTGGGGAGATTGACCATCACTTCCTATCCCATAGCAAAGCAGAAAGTAATAAGTATAAAGTAAGAAATCCTGAAAATTAAAGTGGTGTTAACCACTTCAAGTCCAGACACTTTTACCCCTTCCTGTCCAGACCAATTTTCAGCTTTCAGTGCTGTCACACTTTGAATGACAATTACGCGGTCAGGCAACACTGTACCCATATGAATTTTTTTGAGACAGATAAAACTTTATTTTGGTGGTATTTATTCACCACTGGGATTTTTATATTTTTTTTGCTATATAAATGAAAATGTCCAAACATTTTGGAAAAAAAGTGTTTTTCTTATAAAATAAATAATCTTTCTTCATAAATCTTGGCCAAAATGTATTCAGTTATCTTTTTAGTTAAAAAAAAAAATAACCCAAATTAGTTTATAACCAAAAATTATAATTTTTCAAACATTTTTTTTACATTTTTATATTATTATTTATGTTTTTTTTTAACATATTGTCACCCTAGCAGTACAGTGTCACCGTAGTGACACTGTACTACTTGGGGATGATGAAGATTTTTTTTTTTTTTATTACACTGATTGCTTTTACACCCATAAAGGCTGTAAAAGCAATCATTTCTCTTTCTCTCTGGCTGCATTCTTGCAGCCATTGAGAAATACTGTGAGAGCTGTAATTGGTTACAGCTTGTCACATGGTACAAGGCTGTTGTGAATAGCCTTGTACCATGTGATCTCTGTGATCATTCATAGATTTCACTAGTAGTAAGCAATGATGTCAGAAGTGACATCTTGCCTACTACTATTCATGTGATCACTGATTGGCACCTCACACAGAGGTCCTGTACAGTGATCGGTGTTCCCAGGAAATGCACACAGGCTAAAATGGCGGGCGCCGTTTGTGAGCAGCAACCCGCTCCTGCACTGCTCCCATTCGGCCATTTATATACATGGCCCGGATGGGAAGCGGTTAAAGGTTCAGCTTTTTAAAAAAAAATTGTAATGCTTACCTGCCCTGTGCAATGGTTTTGCACAGAGCAGCCCAGATCCTCTTCCTCTCGGGTCCTCCGCTGGCACTCCTGGCTCCTCCCCCTTGACTAGTGCCCCCAATAGCAAGCTGCTTGCTATAGGGGCACTGGTGCATGCTTGCTCCCGAGCTCAGCTCTATGCATCCATAAGACACAGAGCCGAAGCTCAGCCCTGCCTCCCACCCTCTCCCCATCGGCTTAGTGGATGTGATTACCAATGAAGAGAGGGGGTCCCAAGACAGCTGAGGCTCTCATGCACAGTGATGGATCGAGATGGGGCTCAGGTGAGTATTAGGGAGGGCTGTGGTGGGAGCAGCACACAGAAAATTTTGTACTTTCATGCATGGAATGCATACAGGTAAAAAAACTTCTGCCTTTAGAACCACATTAAGGTAATCCCGTGGGGTCCCCCCCCAGGTCACCAGAACCAGTGTGCCCAATGGCAAATTTACCCTCTATTGCTTTTCTGGGGACATCCCAAAATGTTCCTTTTCTTTCACTTTCAATAACAGTTAACAGGACAAATAGAGAGGTTGATTCTCCCTAGCTGGGGCACAGACAGCAATAAAAGCTGACAGGTGTTCTAATCCCTTTCCACTATCCAAAACTAAAAAAAAAAAGCTTTGCCTTTAGTAATACTTCATGCAGCAGGCTTCATTGACATCACAAAAACACTTCACAAAATGTATCTAACATCAAAGACTGTTTTTGATTCTGGATAAAGTGGTGAAGGGTTAGAACTCCGTCAGGATGATGTCTTGTAACCATTCGAATTGGAAAGCAACGTGATGGAAAATTTCAAAGATTATAGTTGTCATTAAAACAGGAAAATAAGAGAAAAATATTGAGTGGGGACACTTGTCCTAGTGACATGACTTGTTCCAGTGTTGGTATTTCCCAACATTTTCCAGAGATTTCCTCTCACTGACAAAAAAAAGGATCATTTCTGAACTCTGCAGATATAAAAGACACACATTGTTACAGCTCTTTAATAATGAATGCATCTTTAACCACTTGCCTACTGGACACTTTCACCCTCTACCTGCTCAGGCCAATTTTCAGCTTTCAGCACTGTCGCACTTCGAATGACAATTGCGCGGTCATGCAACACTGTACCCAAATGAAATTTTTAATAATTTTTTTTGAGACATATAGAGCCTTCTAGGTGGCACTGATGGGTATTGACAGGTATCACTGGTGGGCATTCACAGACATCACTGATGGGCACTGAAAGGCATTACTCATATATGGCACTGTTAGGTGGCACTGATGGGTACTGATAGGCGGCACTGATGGGGATACACTGATCATCAGGGCACTGATGATCAGTGTACATCTCCCCTCTGAGGAATGCCGATTACTGGCTCTACTCTCCTGCTGAGCTGTCAGCGTGACGGCTCATGAGGAGAGAAATGCCGATAACCGGCATTTTCTAATTTACATGCGATCAGCTGTGATTGGACACAGCTGATCACATGACAGAGCCGAAGTCATCGGCTCTTTCTGTTGATCGGTGATCTGCTGTGTCCCAGGGACACAGCGCAACACCCTTTGCCGCGCTGCACACCCCTGGGGGCGCACACATGCGGTTAGAGTGGGAGGACGTCATATGACGTCCTCCCAGAACGAGAGAACCACCGTGCTCCCGTCATTTCCTTATATGGCAGGCGGGAGGCAGTTAAATAATTTTTTTAAAATGCAAGTTGTGTAAGTATTTTAATTTTATCTGGTATCAACCTCTTACAGTCCCTGTACAGCAGGACTGGATTGTGAGAGGATGACACAGCACAAGGAGCCAATCAGTTCATGTGGCGACAAGAAACATGCTAATAGGAGGAGGGAGAAGAGTGACAGAAAGATGAGCTCATCACTGTGCTGCATCTTCTTTCACTGTGCATTCGTATAAGGACCTGGGCTCAGAGGAAAAGGATTTAATAATGTCTGCCTGACTGAGGTCATCTAGTGGCAGAAAAAAGTACTTCAGAAGAAATCTCTGAATTGAAGGTGAATATTGCAGTAAAAAGCTGAGTTTATTTTAGCTTTTAATTGGCTATTCATTTTTATCATGTTATTATTGGTTGGCATTCTGCGTTGATGTAAATAATCATATCAAGTGTGTGATAGTGTTTTTTTTAATTCTTGATTCTGAGTATATTTTGTACAGAATTTCATACATATTCATTCATTTCACATGCTGGATGTGCTGTTTAATATTGCTGTGCAGTGGTGGATATACCTTAATGTTACTCTCATTCACTACAAAATCTATCAGTCACCACACCTCGTGTTGATTTGGTCTTAGCAGAGAACAATATGCTAATGCAGGGCGGGAGAACCTACAAACACATACATGAAATTCAATCAGGGAAACATGGAACAAGCACATTAAAATGCGACTATCCAAACTGCTTGCAGCATAATTGTCAGGAATGGACTGGCCAGCAATGGTGGGACTCACCTGCCTTTTGATCTGCAGTACCAGGGCTGGCCAGCGGGTGCTCCCAGCAATCAGAGACTCAACCTTTCAGCCAGCTAACACCTGGAACTGATGATACTGGTGTATTTAAGGGATGGCCAGACTTGCAGACTCTGCCTTGGTGTTGTGTTTGTCCTGGGCCCTGTATCTGTCCTGCATCCTGTTTCTGTTCCTTTGCTACCTGTTCTGATCCCTGGCTTGTGACCCTGACCATCCCTCTGCCTTACCCTCTGTACTACGCTGCTTGCTACCTGTTCTGATCCCTGGCTTGTGACCCTGACCATCCCTCTGCCTGACCCTCTGTACTACGCTGCTTGCTACCTGTTCTGATCCCTGGCTTGTGACCCTGACCATTCTCCGCTTGCTCCCCCTGTACCTACCTGCCCAATTGATATTGACTCGGCCTGCCTGACGACGCTTGCTTGTATGTACTGTTATCTGTGGGTGGTTGGTTGGGTTTGTTTGCACTGTATTATGTTTAGTATTGCACTGCGTTTATGTTTGTATTGTTAGTGTTAATAAATTACATTGTTAATCACATATCTGAAGTCTGCGTTTCCCTGCTTCAGTCACACACCTCTGGTCATACCTGGGAGCCCTGACAATAATGATACCATGATGCCTGAAAATGGCCTTTTTCAGTAGGCTGCACAAGGAACTAAGAACCCACACTGGCCAATCAGAATTTACACTATTACAATCAGATACAAGATGAATAGTAACTATGTGTTATTAGCTCTTTGCTCCTTGAACTATTTTATCGAGTACGTTTATGAAGCAGCGGTATCACTGCACATTTATATTGCATAGCGGTGGGTTTTACACATCAGTAAATCAAAGACGAATTCTCCTGCGCTCTAGGACCCAGACAGGTGGCGAATGGATGGAACCAGATCTGGAAAAATCTTCCACCAATGCATAAAGGGTTGTGCGGCTCCAAATCAAGGCTGGGGAAGCCCGACCAATACTGCAGAATGAAATGAAAACAAGAAGCGCACCAACCTAGCGCATTACCTCAGTAACCAAAATTTATTAATTGTAAAAAATATACTCACAAACAGCGAATTAAATCAGGCATGTAAGTCCTCAAAGGGACATGAAGATAGCGCAAATCCCATCAAGGGGATAGGTATTCGGTACATCTGACACGTTTCGAAGGGTGTCCCTTCTTCATCAGAGCTCTGTTTGTGAGTATATTTTTTACAATTAATACATTTTGGTTACTGAGGTAATGCGCAAGGTTTGTGCGCTTCTCGTTTTCATTTCATTCTGCGGTTTTACACTTCAGCCACTCCACTGGCTGAAGTGGGTGGAACTCAATAAAGTACTGCATAGCAAGACTAAAAAAAAATGGGAGGAGAAGCCCAACCAGGTGACCTCTCAACAGCTGTCCTCCAGTCAGGGAGCTCTTTCTGTTGCAGTAAGCAACATCGCCTACATTTTATGAATGGGCCATAAAATACGGACCGCAATATGCGTAGCACATTTATAAAGCTCTGCTATGTGCTTTTTGCTTCTCTTGTTTCAGAACTCTGAAGTAAACCATGTCCTATGAATTCTAATGACCCTAGAAAAAAGTGTCAAGAGAAGTAGGAAACCTATCGCATTATCTGATGTAGCAACATTCATCTCCTATCCGATAGTGTTTGCTGCAGCATCATGCAGGACATTGGAGGCTCCACACTGTGCTCTGCATTATACTGGTGTAGAGCCCTCCTAGTTAGTGCATATTGTTAGGTAAATTTAGTTTGGCTTCTCTGTAATCAGTGGAGCAGGGATTCATTGCTCAGGCCTGCTCAGTGTCTCAGGCGACCGCTCTGATTACTTCCCCCTGTATTCTGTCTAGAAGAATCTAGGATTATAGCGGAGGGAAGAACAGAGGGGCAACCTGAATATTTATGAGTATTCAGCCAATCGTTGGGGAGATGTGCCCAGTAGGCAACTGTAGAGAGCCCATAAATAGTCTGAGGCCTGAGGCAGAGGTTGTTGCATGGGTCCAGTCCTGTCAGAGGAGACACCTGTGCAAGGACCCTGCCCCAGGGCAGGATTGCTGAAGGTGCCATTCCGGAGTCATTAAGGTCCCAGCTGGAGCTTGAGCTGGGGGCCTATTTGTAAATTTAGGTCCCGAAGTCACTTTGAGTCTGGAGAGTACCAGGAGGAAGTTGGGGTAAGAGTGTCCAGCTGGCCTATTTTAGTATAAGTCGGTGACTCCCTCACTGAAGAGTACCCAGTGGATATTGGAAGAAGGCAGGCAATAATTCTGCATTGTGAGTAAATGACCTAGGTGAAGGGCCTTAGTGACTGTGTGTAGCTCTTAGTTCTTTGGAAGAAGTCATAATCACCTATTAGCAATAGAAGGTCATATGGGTTTTTTTTTTTTTTTTATTATAATAAATATTTATTAGGTTTCAATCAGATATAATTAACAAGCATTTCTTCATAAGATAATCATTATGTTCCTCTTAATTTATTTAATTCCCACAACCCAAATCCCTCCCAAGGCCCCTCCCCGCCCCACACCTATCCCAGTGTCCCCCCCCTCCCCCCTCCATCCCACTCTGCCGTTTCTTTTCAAATCCAAAAGAGAGAGAAAAAAAAAATAGATATACAGTTGTGACCAAAATTATTCAAACCCCCAATGCTGTAAAGGGGTTTAGGGACTATAGTGTACATTTGGAATGTATTCAGAAATCAAATCCTACAAGGACGTTGTAACTACCCAAATGCAACTAAAATGACATCAATTGTTTATGTAATACAGTAGTAAATGGTTCTTATGTGGTTTTTCTTCATTGCCACACATTATTTCAACCCCTTAAAGACTACCACTCTGAAGAACAGAGGTTCATACAGGTGCTTTCCATCAGGTATTGAAAACACCTGTGGATGTCACCGAGCAGCAAATCAAGCATAATAAGCACCAATTAGGCAGCTTTAAAATGACTGTGATACTCAGCTCCTTCTAGACATTTACTGGTGTGGTTACAAACATGGTGAAGGCAAGAGAATGGTCCAGGAAGACAAGAGAAGAGGTGATTTCTCTTCACAGGAAGGGCAATGGCTATAAGAAGATTGCAAAGATGTTAAACATACCAAGAGACAACCCTTAGGAAGCATCATTCGCAAATTCAAGGCAAAGGGCACTGTTGAAACGCTACCTGGTCGTGGCAGAAAGAAGATCTGCTGACTTCGACTGCTGTGCGCTACCTGAAGCGTAGAGTGGAGAGAAAGTCCCCGTGTGACTGCTGAGGAACTGAGAAAAGATTTGTCAGATGTGGGTACAGAAGTTTCAGCCCAGACAATAAGACGCACACTGCGTAATGAAGGCCTCCGTGCCAGAACTCCCAGGCGTACCCCCCTTGCTGTCTCCAAAGAATAAGAAGAGTCGACTGCAGTATGCCAAAAGCCATGTGGACAAACCACAAAAGTTGTGGGATAGTGTTCTGTGGACTGATGAAACAAAATTAGAACTGTTTGGGCCCATGGGATCAACGCTATGTTTGGAGGAGGAAGAACAAGGCCTATGATGAAAAGAACACCTTGCCTACTGTGAAGCATGGTGGAGGGTCAATCATGCTTTGGGGCTGTTTTGCTTCTGCAGGTACAGGGAAGCTTCAGCGTGTGCAAGGTACCATGAATTCTCTTCAGTACCAGGAGATATTGGATGGAAACGTGATGCAGTCCGTCACACACCTGAGGCTTGGGAGACGTTGGACCTTTCAACAGGACAATGATCCCAAGCATACCTCCAAGTCCACTAGAGCATGGTGCAGAGGAAAGGCTGGAACATTTTGGAGTGGCCATCGCAGTCACCAGACTTAAATCCGATTGAGAACCTCTGGTGGGACTTAAAGAAAGCAGTTGCAGTGCGCAAGCCTAAGAATGTGACTGAACTGGAGGCCTTTGCCCATGAAGAATGGGCGAAGATACCCGTAGATCGCTGCAAGACACTTGTGTCAAGCTATGCTTCACGTTTAAAAGCTGTTATAACTGTAAAAGGATGCTGTACTAAGTACTAAGATTGAATGTCACTTGGGGGTTGAATAAAACTGATAATGCTGTGAGCACAGAAAAGACATTTGTGGTTATTTCATTATAACTGTTATGTTATATTTGTCTGACCTACAAGTGCCTCTTTAATGTAAATGTAAGCAAGATGACTGAATGATCAAAAGCAATGTCAAACTGGCCAAAACACTCAATTTCAGTGGGGGTTGAATAATTTTGGTCACAACTGTACATATAGCACAATCCCCTTTTTTTTTTTTTTTTTTTTTCTAAGTCTCATTTCTAAAAATCATTGTTCATCAAGAGTTCTTGTCTAAATACTTCCCATTTTCCCCACTTTTTATGATATATCTCCATCCCATCTATGTGTGTATAATAAAGTCTTTCCATCTCACATAACTGATTCATTCTGATCAACCAATCTTCTTCCATCGGGACCTCCCTTTTTTTCCAGAACTTAGGAATCAAGCTTTTAGCTGCATTCAGAAAGTGCCAAATCCCTGAGTCCTTATATGATCTTACTGTGAGCTCAGATATATGAAGGAGGCATAACTCTGGGTCCAATCCAACATCGATCTTAGTAATTTTTCTCATTAAATGGACGATTTTCCCCCAAAACACCTGTATCTTTGAACATTCCCACCATATGTGATATAGTGTACCTACTTCACCACAGCCTCTCCAACATAATGGGGAGTTCTCCCTACTCATCTTGTGCTCCACACTCGGTGCAATGTGCCATCTAACTAAAACACTTATAATTTAGTTCCACTTCTCTCATACTAATATTTTCGTGAATTAATCTAAGCATATTCCTCTGTTGCTCCTCACTGATCTCCCTCCCCATATCTTTTCCCCATTTCTCTATATAAATTAATTTTGTGTCAGTGTCTAGTGCCGTTAAGATTCTATATATTTTAGCAACCTCATGTCTCCCATCTCCCCGTGTGTCTAACAGACTTTCAAATAGATTCCAATCCTTTTTTGTTCTCACCGGTTTGGGAGGCTCTCAAAAAAAGTGTCTTAATTGGTGGTATCGAACCTCGTCCATTCTACTAAAAACCTCTCCCTTTGGGTTTTTTTTGTGCATATGGGTTTTTTTGTGCAGCTCAGTGTGAAGGATTAGAGTCCTCAAAAAATTCAGTTCAGCGGTTTTCGTGTATCCCATGTTCCCGTCACCTGATCCAAGTTCTGCTTTACAGTAGAGCATCAAAAAGACAACCTTAGACTATCCACTTCAAACCAGAGGAAGTGGAAGGAAATGCTGTGCACCTGGCTGTGTGTACTAATCTTAGGGGAAAAGTATCAGTTCACTAGCAGTTCCTTTGGGGCTGTGCTACAATGTATATATAAAATGTAAAATTAACACGTAGCATGGAGTTTTTCCAGATACATCTATTATACATTGGACCCGTAGGTTCTACCAAGATCATCTCCAACTGTTATTACCTTTTAGCATTAGGGTTCACCACGCCTTGAATATTCAGCACCAAGCCAGGCATAATTCCTGATGACAGGGGCAACGTATGTGGTAATTTCTGAAACACATTATAATTGGTTTAGACATGCTATTGTATCACACAGTAGAAAAAGGGAAATCTTAGTTAAAGTAATTCAGATCTTTTTTTCAGAGATTAATTCATTGCACACTTACCAGTGGGCCAGCAGGAGCTGATGGAAAAGGAGCTGGTGGTGTTGGACTTGACTGATCGGCTGCTTTTGGGTCAGGCTGCCCTGGCACTGGAGCACCTGGGTATTGCTGCCCTGGTGCTGGGAAACCTGGATATCCAGGAAATCCCCCTGGGCCTGCAGGTGGAAATCCCCCTGGATACTGCTGTCCACCTTGAGGGAATCCTGGGTACTGCTGTCCACCTTGAGGGAATCCTGGGTACTGTTGTCCACCTTGAGGGAACTGCTGCCCACCTTGAGGGAACTGCTGACCACCTGGAGGGAAACCTGGGTACTGCTGGCCTGGCCCTGGTGCTGGGTATCCTCCTGGGTATGGCTGTCCAGGACCTCCCCATGGATTATTCCAATTCTGACCTTGTGATTGGGTTTGCTGCCCGCTGGCACTGGTTTGTCCTGATAAGGCATCATCCAGCTGTTGCAAAAAAAAAAAAGAATGGAAAAAACTGAAGGCACAGCACTGATATTGAACTGCCTATAAAATACAAAACATTAGAGCAGGTTGTTCTTAGATATAATGTGCATCCTAATTTGTGAGCCCAGGGTACAGGCCACTCTGCTTAAGATTGCATCAGATAAGCAGATTTTTTCTTTATATATTTTAAAATAAGTAGCACAAAATGTTTCAAAAATTGCCTGTACCTAATGTGGGATCTTTAAGAGGGTGAAACATGTGGAAATGCACATTGAACTCCATGTTTGTTTTTGTGGGTTTATTTTTTTATTTTTATATATTTTTTTTGCCTTGACATACATTTTAATTTGTGTTTGTGTCAGCCTACTGTTGTCCCCCTCTGGGTCAACACTCAGACTGGGAGAGAAAAGGCCAATGGAAGATGGCAATTAAAGGGAAGGTACTTCTGTTCAATGAGAAGTTTCCCTTGCTCTGGTGGTTACTGTGTTAGTTGAAATCTTATGTCCTCCATTTGCCACATTCATCCTTGTGGGGGTTACGGCTGCTGGATCTATCATAGGCACTCATCAAGAGTGTGGACTTTGCCGGCCTTTTTTGCCAAGCTCCTTCATTCATATAAGCTGTACTAGAGCTTCCATGAATGAAACAGGATCTATGACTAGAGGACATGCAGATGATTGAAAGATCAGCCTCCTCCATTCATAGAGTGATTTGCATTGATCAAAGATATAGTACAGCCTCTATGAATGGAGGAAGGGCAGGCATTGTCAGCATTTTTGATGACTGCTTAGGACACTTTTCACCAAATGTAAGCACTGTCCCTTGTGCTGATTTAAAAAAAAAACATTGAACTAAACTTTGACTTCAAGCCATTGGTGGTCTGGAGGTGTGTTCAGATTCAAGAGAGGGGCCAAATGCACTTTATTATTTAAACTGTCATACATTATGGAATTGAAACAGATCCCAATACATTTACTATAATATGTTAATGGATGCCTGTTCTTCAGCCTACAGCAGCAAATGGGCACCACTCCATCCCACCCACCCCCATTTACTTCATTTATCTCTAGTGTAGCAGGTTTACCTTAATATAAATTGATTCTGTTTGGAAACTATTCTATTTTTGCAAAAGCTGTCACAGAAACAGAATATCACAAAAACAGGATTTTCAGTAAAACAGAATCAGAATTTTAATAGCTAGAAGCAGCAAGTAGAAGTAAAGAATTAGGACTTACGTTAAATTCGTCTGCCATTTTCTGGAAAAGAAAAAAAAGCGAAATATTCTGCATAAGCACACTTCATTCATAATAAAATAATAATAAAAAAAAATATAATAAAAACAAAATACAAGTGATAGCAGATCATTCCTTTTCTATGAAGGTTAGAACCATAAGGTCCATGTAAAACATGACCATTGTATGATACCTATATGAAGCCAAACCACACCACCCTACAACAACCGTCAAGATGGTATGGGCTTTATGGGTTAAAACTGTCAAACATCTCTGAGAAGTGATTCACTGCAGATTGGTTTTCAAAGGGTCAGCAAGGTCTGCTGCAAGTGTAAACTTAGCCTAATGCCTGGTATACGCTATAGGTTTTATTTCGTTCAACACAGTAGACTGAGCAAAAAAAAAAAGATAGATTGCTCTACTAACACAAGCAATGTTAGTACAGCAATCTCCCACGCTGTGCTATTGAGTTCTGACAGTTCTGACAGGGGGACCGCAGAACACGCAGGCTAGCGCTTGCAGCCATTGGTTGAGAGCACTGGCCAGATGCTGGTTTTCCAGCATGCCCGTTCGACAGAAGCTGATCGTGAAATTGGCTTTTGTTGGACAGGGAACTGTACACAGGCCAAAAGTTGTCTCTCATTCAGAATGTGCGTACCCGGTATAAGTCTCTAACTTTTACAGTGATAAGGATCATGCTAAATGTGTGATGAGTTAATGGGCAACTCTCTCCCATAGTGATTGGGATAATGATAATTATGGGTTAAAGGGCAAGTCTACCAACAGAAATGCCCTTTGTTATTCAGATTTAAGCTCAGTTGCTCAGATCCTCTGCCATCATCCACCACCATTTGACAGTGGAGAAGTCAGTCCTAAGGATTAGAAGGTGCAGCATAGAGATTAGAATATATCAAGATCTCCCTGGCTCCTGACATTATCAGTTTCATGATTCAGTAGCCATATTATGGGTGGAGAACAGGTGAACATTTAGTTCTCTACATAAAAAAAGTTTCAAAAATATACAGTGCACATACACACCCTACACATAAATAACTGCAATTTTTTTTTGTTAATGGGTTTGCAGAAACAGTATGATTGCATATTGATAGTTCTAAAAAAAATGACCATATAAACAACTATAGACACCTTATGTTCTGAGTCCTATGAACACAGCCAGTGACAGATTGCGCCGCAGTGCGGCCCTGCAGGTGCACTCAGGGCGGCGATCCGGGAGGACATCATATGCCAGGTGGGAACTGGTTAACAACCAGCTATTTACACTGTTTGTTAAGGATGCTGGCTACTGCTGGTGTTAAATTAAAGCAGGCTTTCACTGCTAAAATACCGCATTGCTTCATACAGTTGTGACCAAAATTATTCAAACCCCCAATGCTGTAAAGGGGTTTAGGGACTATAGTGTACATTTGGAATTGTATTCAGAATCAAATCCTACAAGGACGTTGTAACTACCCAAATGCAACTAAAATGACATCAATTGTTTATGTAATACAGTAGTAAATGGTTCTTATGTGGTTTCTTCATTGCCACAATTATTCAACCCCTTAAAGACTACCACTCTGAAGAACAGAGGTTCATACAGGTGCTTTCCATCAGGTATTGAAAACACCTGTGGATGTCACCGAGCAGCAATCAAGCATAATAAGCAACCACAATTAGGCAGCTTTAAAAATGACTGTGATACTCAGCTCCTTCTAGACATTTACTGGTGTGGTTACAAACATGGTGAAGGCAAGAGAATGGTCCAGGAAGACAAGAGAAGAGGTGATTTCTCTTCACAGGAAGGGCAATGGCTATAAGAAGATTGCAAAGATGTTAAACATACAAGAGACACCTTAGGAAGCATCATTCGCAAATTCAAGGCAAAGGGCACTGTTGAAACGCTACCTGGTCGTGGCAGAAAGAAGATGCTGACTTCGACTGCTGTGCGCTACCTGAAGCGTAGAGTGGAGAGAAGTCCCCGTGTGACTGCTGAGGAACTGAGAAAAGATTTGTCAGATGTGGGTACAGAAGTTTCAGCCCAGACAATAAGACGCACACTGCGTAATGAAGGCCTCCGTGCCAGAACTCCCAGGCGTACCCCCTTGCTGTCTCCAAAGAATAAGAAGAGTCGACTGCAGTATGCCAAAAGCCATGTGGACAAACCACAAAAGTTGTGGGATAGTGTTCTGTGGACTGATGAAACAAAAATAGAACTGTTTGGGCCCATGGATCAACGCTATGTTTGGAGGAGGAAGAACAAGGCCTATGATGAAAAGAACACCTTGCCTACTGTGAAGCATGGTGGAGGGTCAATCATGCTTTGGGGCTGTTTTGCTTCTGCAGGTACAGGGAAGCTTCAGCGTGTGCAAGGTACCATGAATTCTCTTCAGTACCAGGAGATATTGGATGGAAACGTGATGCAGTCCGTCACACACCTGAGGCTTGGGAGACGTTGGACCTTTCAACAGGACAATGATCCCAAGCATACCTCCAAGTCCACTAGAGCATGGTTGCAGAGGAAAGGCTGGAACATTTTGGAGTGGCCATCGCAGTCACCAGACTTAAATCCGATTGAGAACCTCTGGTGGGACTTAAAGAAAGCAGTTGCAGTGCGCAAGCCTAAGAATGTGACTGAACTGGAGGCCTTTGCCCATGAAGAATGGGCGAAGATACCCGTAGATCGCTGCAAGACACTTGTGTCAAGCTATGCTTCACGTTTAAAAGCTGTTATAACTGTAAAAGGATGCTGTACTAAGTACTAAGATTGAATGTCACTTGGGGGTTGAATAAAACTGATAATGCTGTGAGCACAGAAAAGACATTTGTGGTTATTTCATTATAACTGTTATGTTATATTTGTCTGACCTACAAGTGCCTCTTTAATGTAAATGTAAGCAAGATGACTGAATGATCAAAAGCAATGTCAAACTGGCCAAAACACTCAATTTCAGTGGGGGTTGAATAATTTTGGTCACAACTGTAAAATAGGGAGTGCGGTATTTAAGTAGTGTTTTATAGTGAACTGAAAAAAACATTTTGAAAAATGCTTTGGGATGTCTTACCGCATACTCGGATGAGGTAAGACACTGCTTGGTGAATGGAGCCCAGTGATTCTCAACCCCCTTCCTCCAGGCCTTCACCTATCTGCAGATAACTTACCCTCCCAGTGACTCCCATCTTTTACAGTGCCTTCCAACCTCCCTTAGGCTGGCCATACATTATACAAGTTTCTTTAGAAAATTGCTTTAGATTTACCAAAAACCATATAATATGAAGTCAAACCTAAACAACACTTTCAATTGTATCCAATTAAAGAGTCCCTTGCACTACATAGTTGAAGGTAAATCTAAAGGAAAATGGGCAGAAACTGAACAGAAAATTGTATAGTGTATGGCCAGCCTTAGTGGCTCTCGGCTTGCTGAAGAACCTTTAGGTTAGTGCCTCTAACCTCCAACAGTATCTCTCAGTGCCCCCCATGTCGCAAACATGCGCAACACACAGTGAAGGACGCAGACTCCATTTTGT